TTGCAAATATAAAATACAAATTAAAATACAAATTTTTTATGAGTTTATGCTAAGCTAACTAAATTCTTTACTGGTCTGAACAAATTTTGCCAGCAAATGTATTTATTTCTGGCCGGATGTAAAAATAGTGTTTCGAAACTTCGTTAGATTTTTCCTTAAATCTGAATTGATATCCAGTATTTCAATACTACAGGAAGATAAGTTTTCCTATTATCAGTGGCAATTTTTCGTTTAAAGGATCGGCCATTAATAGGAAAATTACAAATTTTATATTGAAACTTTAAATTTGAGAAAATGGAACTCTCCGGAATGTTAATTTCTTTGAAAAAAATGTAACCACGGAAAATTTGATTTTACAAAATTTATTTCGTTCTATTCTTTCATATTATTCTAATAAAACATTTTGTCTTTGAACAGAATATTATAGAGCTATGTCATATTTATTGGTTGTTATAGCATAAATTCTTTTATATTATTAACAGAAAATAAGTAACGGTAACAGATAAAATATCCGTCGCAGGATTTAATTATTTATTGATGATATTATTGAGAATAAGCCGTTCTTTTTATTGCAAGCATAGGAATAGAGAGATTGTTGCGCTTGCATAAGTGCATATGGCTTCATCATAATGTGAAATTATTGAATTAATTCTTCAAGGCACAGATGACCTATAGATCAATCAATTATGTTTAGTAAAACTGACTTGCTTATCTTTGCCAACCATATATGCAAATATTTCCAAAACAAAATAAATTTTTTTGCGTTTTGTTCAAGACTTTGTATTGTTTTATTACAGTGCAACAAATTGCAATTTTTTATCTTAAAAAATCTTTTTACTATAGTGGTCTATTTCAGACCTAAAAGAGGCCTTGTTTCGTCAAATAAGGTAAATGTTATCAGTTATTCTTATCAAAACAAATTATTGACTGAAGAGGCACTAAAATTCAACAATGATGATGGACGTATTACTTGAAGAGGATGAATCGATTCTTGGAACATCTCCCTCACTGCAGTCTAGTCATGAGGAAAACCTTTTTGTTGAACAGGTTCATCCTTTCTTCTTTTATTTGATAAACTTATTCCAGGTAGTACATTTTTTTCCTAAATGCGATATTAAGATAAAAATTTTTATGTAAAAAAATATTTATTATCAACCATCATAAGCAACATTGTGATTAAAAATTGTTGCAAACAAATCGAATTTATTATATTGGTTATATTGGTTTTATAAATCTCATAAGTCGAGTTATGCAAAAGTTTTTCATAGATTACAAAATAAATGTTTTTGAAGGCAAAGAAATTGTTTCGGATGTGTGATCAAAACGACAAAGGCTTTGTGGTGAAGATGGATTTAATGCGACTTAAAGAATTCATCCCGAGAATTTCCACTGAACAACTTGATAATTTCTTCGATAACATTGATATTGATGGAATGAATTTCATCACCGAAAATCAATTCATTGAAAATATTAGTAAGTGTTTTGTTTAGAATTTGTCATTATATTTTCCATTCTGCCATTTCATAATAGTATATATAAAAGGTTAAATCCTAGCGAGGACAATATTTTCACCTATATTTCCAAAAGATTTCTGGCGAAGTCACTAGAGCCAGTCAGTCAGCCTGAGTCAACCTGAACGAGTGCACAAACAAAAATTTGTCCGTAAAAGTTTTTCAGTTTGGCGTTTGTTTATTTAAAAATTTGCATATTCGAGTTTTACTTTTTTATGTGTTTTATGCCTAGTGTTTTATTTTTTTTTAAATTGTCAACTTTTTAGCCATATAATTTTATCTAATTGCCGAGTCGTTCACTTTTTAAACTCCTTTCAGTGAAAGATTTAGTTTGAATTTCAAATTTAAATAAAATTTTTCGCCAGTTATTACATTTCAAAATAAATGGAAGATTTTCCGGCGTAAAACTAACATTTTTTATAATTTTATAATTTCGAATAAAAGAATACGATTAATAATTTTCAATAAATACCTTTTCTATAAATTACTTAAAATCTTTTATCATTGTTTCATATTAAAACGAAAATTAGTGAATTTTATTTCATTTATATATTAATGAATTATTAATATAATTAATGAATGAATTTTATAATGAATAAAACTTTTATTAAAAGAAGATATTTCAAATTTTTTCAAATTTATTCTAACATTTCAATTTTTTTGCAGTCATTCTTATGAATATTTTCTGCACGCTACGTAGGGTTTGTTGACTTATTATCAGCCCATTTTAATGTTTAAATCGATTATAGACAAATAGTTGTCTGGAATTTTTATAATTTCGTGAAGGCCATCCGCTCACAAATCGAAGCGTGGGAAAATATGTGTTAATTGTACTAAGTAGTTTACCGAAATAAATATAAGAAATGAATGAAAAACAAGTATCAGGAATTTTCCGGCTTTTTCTATCGCAAAGTTTTCTTAGGTTCTAAAAAAAATTGTTCCATTCTACATAAAAATTATTTTCTAACTGTAATTCTATGTTATCGTATTGATATATTAATGTATTTCTTTACAGAGCCAATATTGCTATACGCAGATGCTGATACTTTCAAAATCTCGAGGAAAACGGTTTGTAGATAATTTTAGAAAAATCTTTTTTATAAAATGAAGGATGGCTTCTTACTATATAGTGGTTTAGATGCAAACATCACTTATCCTGGTAAAACCATCACTGAGAAAAATCCAGGTGCTAACGGTCTCCTCATACTCCTGCTCCAAGTGATTTATTGGCTACAATTTATAATTGTTTTAATAACCAGCGGAGATATCGTCCAGAATTCGTGAACGTTAACCACTTACTTACATTATATCTTGTTTAGCCTTTAGAATTTTTTCTAATTTTCATATCCATTGCAGTCACTTAGTGTACCGAATTTATACACTCAGAGTAATACCTCAAGAACAGCGATACCAATGAGAAAAGCCAGCTCACAACAAGAAAGTTTGGATAAATTATGGGTTATAATTAATTAGATTTTATTAAAATAATCTAAAAAATTCGATCTGCACTTCGCTTCTGCTTCATTTTTCCTTGGGCAAATTTCTTTCCATGTCACTAATTTTTTTTGAAGTCTTGAAACATAATTTATTAGGGAATATAAATTACGGGAATACTGTCACAAAAATTTTCAGAGTCGTTATCCATTTTTTATCCTATAACGGAAATTGAACATTTAATTGTCAATTTATGTGACGAGTTATCTTATCTATCATATATTTTAAGGAACCAACATTATCGCGATTCGTTACTAAAGAACAACATAGTAATTCAACGCAAGATATTATAAATAATGAAAAAGATCGAACTGCAGCATCAAATATCCCATTGAATGGTATTTCATATAATGATGAAATTAGCTTATCATTGCAAGATGAACTCGAAGTAGCGAATATTGCCGATGAGAAACTAGAATCCGAGCGAAAAAAAGAGTTAGCTTGTTTTCTTTTTTCATCAGTTCAAATTCAGCTTTTAAATTTTGGCTAGTGCGTTTTGAAGTCGCAATTGCTGCACACAAATTTGTTATTATTTTGGTTGAATTTTTTGCAGCGAAACAATCTGTCCGTATTGGGCCGGTAATGTCGATAAGAAAAATACTATTAGCGTTCTTTTATTTTATAAATTTTTTGAATAAAACTAGATAATGAATTTTTTCTTTTTTATACAACAACGCATATTTAATGAAAGCTTTAGTTATTTATTTATCTCGACGTTTTTCAATATTTAAATTGAACCACATTATTTTTCAGGACTCATTTAAATTTTATTTGAAAAATGATATGTTTCAGATTATTTTCAGTAATTTAATTTCTCGACTCAACTGAAATTCTTCACTGAAAAAATATTCTTGAAATGCATAGAAAAAATCATTTAAGCAAGATTAATTAATTATTTTATAGAAACAGTTTTATTCCAATAAAATTTCTTTCATTGAATTTATCTTAATTTATTATTCGTCATTCAATGAATCTGTAGAAATGGGTGAAAGAACTAGAAGATTGCATGTTCTATATACAATTTGTTCAGTTACATATTATATGAGCTGAAAAATGAGAATAGTCGGAGAATTGATTAATTTAATTTAAACTAAGCCAGCACAAAAAATAAAATTCAGTATCCTATGGTCGAAAAAAAACTTTGAAACGAATTCAATCAATTGGATATTTTTCAAGAAGGACATTTTAATGCTTATTAGGCATTTTTACATGAAAATATTTTATTTTACCGTAAATTCCAAATTCCAAATTCTTGCAAAATTGAAGCGTTGTTTCTGCTTAAACGTTAGATCGTTAGGTCTGCAATATTAGATCGAAGAAAAGTAGCAGTTTTGGTTTTTTTTATAGGATGTACAGATTTCCTTCCGATTGTCTGTGGCCGTGATATCCATTCATGTTGTCGTTTTCTTGCGTCATCCTCACCTATCACATAATTCATTGCCTTTTCAAAAAATTTTTTGTATATTTTTTGTATAGATACGTATCTTCTTGTTTTGTGAGAAATGCGTTGTAGGCTAGCTACGGTCATCGAATTAAAAACTTCCTTCTAATCTGGCCAAGTGGATCTTTTTCAGGCGATTATTTTTTTATACGCTAATTTTTATTTATCCAAAAATGAGCATTATTAAATATAAGCATTATTTAATTGTAGGATCGAAAGTGAGGATATTTATCCGTTCGTTGTAAAAAACGATAACACAGAGTCTTATCCTGAAGAAAAAGAGAAAATGGATCGAAAACTATATCTTGAAGTATCTATCGATCTATTTTTTTCTCCACTTGTACTATTATAACTGATTTTCAAATGTTGGCTCTAAATTTATCATTAAGTGAATTTTTAAAATAAATATCCATTTTTAATTTTCTAATAGGTCCCTTTTTTTGATTTATTTAGGTTTGATTAGGCAAATATTCATACAAGTTTGAATTTGAATTTTATTTCATTATTAATTATTGTTTAATATTTTAAATTATTAGCTATATATTTGCTGCATTTTTTCGAATCTCTTAATTTTCTGCAATTTTCTGCAGATCGATGATATGGACAATCGTGGATGCACAAGTCAGGTTGATCTTCGCCGAAGCATTTATAATCCAGAAGTAAAACAGTCACCTAGTTCGAGATCTCTTGCCGAGGTTTTTAATTATCATACCAAGTCTGGTCCTTAAATTTCAAAAAAGCTTTTGAGATTTAATTTGGTTTTCAATTTATTCAATTCAAAAATTTAAGTCAGAGGTTATAAACAATTTATCATAAAAAATAAAATCACAATATTTTCTTCGATATTGTTTTAGGAACTTCGAGATGTTGGTTTAAATTCAAGCGATATTCCATCCGAAGTATTGTTTTTATTTCATGAATTTCATGAATATTTTCTCACATCCTTTTGATTGGTTTTTTTAAAATTCCTATTCGCCGTTCCTTTCAGCCTCGTCCAGATTTCTCTCCTGAAAGAATATTTAAAGTTGTATTTATTGGAGATTCAGCTGTGGGGAAGACTTGTTTTCTTCATCGATTCTGTCATAATCGATTCAAACCGCTATTCAACGCTACTATCGGTGTTGATTTCACTGTAAAAAATATTCGCTTAGGAAATCGAACCGTGGCTGTGCAATTATGGGATACTGCTGGACAAGAAAGGTAAAATCTTCAGAAAATTCAGAGATATATGGGGAATATATTATGAAATTTTCAAGTGGAAAAACTAGAATTTGGTGATAAATCAGTTTTGTTTTGATTAGCGCTAAATAAAAAGATAATTGGATAAGAATATTCATTTTCTCACAACAATGGGAAAAATGGATTTATCCAGAGATATTATGATGCACTCGTAAAAAATAAAATGGGCAAAGAGATTTGAAAAAAATTTGATTATTCTTCAAATGAATCCATCTTTGCTTACTCATTTTTCAGTGATTTTCAGTGTTCGCTTTTTCATGAAATATTTGGCAAATTTCGTAATTTTTTTTTAATATGTTAAAAACGATAAACTTGATCGGAATAGCAAAAAAAAAACAATTATTGTATTATCTATGAAATGATTAAAAAAGCGGGAATTGAGATCAAAAATTCTGGGAATTACAGGATTAATCACATCTAACTTGTAGATTTCGTAGCATTACTAAGCAATATTTCCGTAAAGCCGATGGTGTCATTCTTATGTACGACGTGACTTCGGAGCAATCTTTTTTGAATGTTCGCAGCTGGATCGATTCTGTTAGAGTCGGTGTCGATGAAAAATGCGTTATTTGTTTAGTAGGGAACAAGGTAAATAAATAGCTTCATTTAAGCCAATCAATTACAAAAATAATTATTTTTTGATCAGTTTAAAATGTAATATTGTGGAATATTAATTAAGAGATTTGCTGAAAGATTTGGAAATAAGGCTACATTTTCTTAATGATAAAAATTTCTGCCCGAAAATTTCGCAGATCAGTAACGATTTCGTATATTCATAAATCTTGTCAAAAAAGTCAAAGCCAAGGGATGCTGGCGAGCCACTTGCGTTATTACTATCCCCGAATGATTCTCTGGCTAAAGGACTTACCCAAATAATAAGTAAAGTTGGTTTATTAGAAATTGAAAAAAAAAGGCACGGAAACTTTCTCAATTCTAAAAAGGTCGAAGAAAGCTCGGATTAGAATCAAATCAAATAATCATATAATCAAATAAGAAAAAGTGTAATCGAATTAAAAAAAGTGATATGATAGTGAAATAGTGAAATTAGTATTCTACGAATAAATATTCCGAAAGTTATTTATTATTGCAGAATGGATAATAATATATGGCAGTAATATGTGACCCTTATTTTCAGTAACTTTTATTGCATATGGCTTTTAAATCGAAAATCTTAAGGAGAGAAAAGATGATGGGGTGATATATTTCTTAGACCAAGATCACACCATCGTAGGCTGGACTCCTGATAAGAATAAATAAAGTGCAGGTAATATTAGGGATCCATATTTACTTTATCACTGGCTCTTTGACGAAAGGGAATTTTATTAGTTTAGTTAGTAAGAGGGGAGTTTGCCAATTGGGTAGTAATTCATTGAGAGACAATTTTTTTTCAACAAATTTCCAACCTTACCAATAGCCAGCCTGGCTAAAAATGGTCAGAGAACAATAGACAATCATTTTCCTCAGCCATTAGAATTGAAAAAAGTTGTGAATGTTTTTAAAAAAATAAGGAAATATTAAAATCTTAATTTTCTTCAGGTTGATTTGTTCGCGAACGATCGCTCACGCGTTTTAACATACAAACAGGGTCAAAACATGGCTGAGGTACGCCCTGTAACTTTCGCTCGATTTCTTTATTTTGAACTTTTAAGATTTATTTGCAAAATTCTCTTATGAAAATTGTGAAATGAAATTTATTGCAAAGTTTACTTCAATAAAAATTGCGATGGAACGTTACAAAATCTTAAAGTAATTTCACGAGAAATTTGTACTAGAGAATTACTTGGGAAAAGAAGATCTTTCGCATTGCTCATATTTTTCAGATTAACAATAACAATATTCTTACCACGGTCGAATTATGAAGCTTGATAAGCAATACTTTTGCGATATTCTCTATGAAAGCATTAGTAAAGCAAACGATTTATCGTGGACAAATTTCATTTTAAGCTTCGATACTTTTTATTTTCTTATTTACTAATTTAATTTCGAAATTATTTTTAGGAATTTAATATGCTATTTTTTGAAACAAGTGCTTATACAGGATATGGAGTCAATGAATGTATGAAGGCTGTTGCTATGTAAGACCTGATAGCTTTGATATCCTCCTTTTTTTATTAACCTTTTGACTAGTTAGAGAATTTGCTTTAGGAAATTGCAAGAGCGTGAAGATGAGAATATTGAAGAAGCTTTAAAATTGGATATGAATATACAAAAAGCAAAGAAGTGTTGCTCATGAATTGCCCGAAATTACTCGAAATATATCTATAATTACGAGATAAATACTAATTATAATCGACTTTTGTATTAATTTTATTTAATATTGCATACAATAGAATTATCTTTGATATCGAATTCCACAATAAATAAAACAGATTGATGTATAATTATAATTAAAAAATATTTTTGCAAAATTGCTACTTATTTCATTGAATTCATTGCAAACGGTAACATCGTTAACATTGGATATTATAGTTTTATTCTATACTTATTATAGTTTAACAAATCTAACTAATATACTAACTGTAAAGCAAACGAAAATTTCATATTTTCAGGTAAATAAAGCTCATTGTTACAATTAAAAATCCTTGGAGCAAAAAAAGAGTTATTTGTTCAAATAATGATTCAGCATTAGTCTGCCATATTTTTTGAATTTAAACTGCAAAAAATGACTGAAATTTATTTATACTAAGATTCTGTTTAATGCTGTGAAGTTCTTCTAACAGCTATCACTCGTTTGTTTAGCTGCATTAGCTATTAGCATAATAGCTCTTCGCCATTTTAGTAGGCGGGCGCTGAATACTAACCAGATCACTGCAAAATTAATTATATGCCAATGTAATTTTTCAATTTTTTATTTGCATATCATTTCCCTGATAACCAGTTTAAATTTTTGATAAGTGAACAATCAATGATCATAATTCATTTGTTTTTTAACTTTTTAGCAAGAAAAAATAATAAATCTTTAATGTTTTTTAAAGAAAACTTTCCATTTTATATTTTATGCATGAAAAGTGCATTTAATGAATGAATTATGAGAGATTTGTTTTCGTGAAGTTTTCAAATGGAAAAACGTAGTTACTGCGAACGAAGCTGTCAAAGCGCGCAAAATGGAATAAAAGGTGTCGTTTAAAGAGGAATTCTTGGAAATAAATTTCCTCTTATTTCTCCGCCAGTTTTCGTAAGAATATATAATTAACAAAAAATTTTGAATAAATAAATTTAAATAAATATAATTTAAATAAATTTAAATAAATAAATATTATAAAATAAAAAATATATGCTTTAAAAAAATTTTTACCATTTTTTATTATTATTTAAAAGTAACTATTACATTTTTTAATATATTTTTTATTTTATAGGCTTATGAATTTTTACAATTTTTGGTTTTTATTGGTTCCAGCCAAAGGTTTATTACATTGTTCATGGAAAAATTTCTAATTCTTTGCTTCAGTCTTCATCAAACGAATATTTTTTTAAAGACAAATGAAAGATAACTAACTTTATTTGCTAAAAATGAATTCTGCTGCGATGATACGTATTTTTTTACAAAATGTTGGACAATTATAAATAAAAATTAGTGGATAAATAATTGTTAAACTTGGATACAATAAGTTTTTCATCTCCTTAAAGATGGATAATAACCAATGTAAAAATACAGAACGGAATTTTCATTCATAAGCCAAATTTTATTAAAATTATTGAATTGAAATAAAAATTAAATGACTAAAGCCAAATTTAATTTTTAACCTTCACTTACATCAATTATTCAACAAATAAATGTCCAAAAAAGCAGAAAGAAGAAAATATTTCAATTTATTCGGCATCCAAAATAAGATGATTTTCTTCGAATTTTATTTGAATATTTAATTTTTAAAGCAAATTTATGAGATATAAATTCTTTTCTTCTTTCCTTCATTTTCTAATGCTTCCCATTTTCGTTTTGTTAGCTCCACTGGCTATTAGAATGAGAGACCATTTAGAACAAAGAGTCTTGTTCGAGACTTATTTGTTGTTACAACGCTTGCAATTAATAACAGGAAAAGCACAATAAAAGGAAATAATAAACGAGTTGCCTTGATATTCTCATTTAGTTGGAATCTCGAACTAAGTGAATCGTATCGATTTCGAATATAAGCATTTTTTCGATTCTGATTGTACTAAAATAAAAATCGTTTGCAAAAGAGGTTTGAAAATTTCCTACTTTTGCAATTCGGGAAATAGAAAAAAGATTCTTACATAATAAACATTGATGTAAAACGTGAAAAAGATGAGATGAAAGAAGGCAGTGATGAAAAAGTGAATATTTTCTTTGATAAAACTGGATTTTCCATTAGAAAAACACACAAGTTGGAATGATGTGCTGTACGAAAATGTATTCATTAGATGCTCCAGCAATGAATATAATGCCGGAATAAGCTAAATTATATAAAGCTGGAAATCGTGCTAAAAACTGGAAAGACATCAAAAAGTTAAAAGTACTCTTATATGCAACGACATTAGCTGGAAAACTTTTCGGAAACCTTCCATATTTCCTATAAATGAGCAAAATTTTGAAAATTTCGAAAATCATTAGGCATAATATGAAGTGAAATATGAGCGTTTTAAAATGAAATCGAACAAGCGCAACATAGTTATTATTTTGCTTAATCTTCTGTTTAAAGAAATAAGCAAATAAACAGATAACATATAATACATTTCAATAATAATATAAGAAAAAACCAACTGTTATAATGAATCCAGTAAGCAGTGGAAATTTCATTGACTGATACTCATATTTAGCGAAGTTTAATGTAGCGTACATTTCAATTTGCGGTGAAAAAACTATTCATAGTGATAGCTATAACTACGAATGATGGTGGTGAATCTGTTTAAGAAGAATTAAATTCCGTCACTTCGACCGATTCCTGAACCTTCATCAAATAAAAGCCATTTAATTTCCCATGTTGCAGATAATAAAAGATTTGCAAAGAGAAGCTTAATCACAGGGATTTTAAACAAGCAAATTAATTTCTGGACATATGAAGCAATTTATAGGTGGCATTTTAAGACTGATAATGACAAATGATAATGATAAGTGATTAAATGTAGTAGCACAAACAAAACATCACAGTTCCATCTCTTAACGGAGATATTCATATATTTTCTGAATAAAAGTATCATTCAAAATTATATTCGCAGTGCTCTAAAAGGAAAAAGCCTTGAAACAAAGAATTTTTCTTTCTTCGATATTGGCAACGTCGTTCATATCTAATGAAAAGATTTTCGCCTTTTTAGTGTAATATATTTAATAATCAATACTTACATCCGTCTGGCTGAGATTAGTCGAATAAAAACACCGATGAATTTCGAAAATTGCCCTTAAAATCGAATGAAAACATCCGACGAAATTAATCATTGACAAAATTCGAAGAAGGATTCTTAGATTAATATGAAATACATTGAATCGAAATAAAAGCGCATTCAACAAAAAGCATAACAAAGCACCGAGTATCGAAAGATAAACTTGAATTACGAGAAGGAGGAAAATTCGACTTGAACAATCCTTATAGCATTCGCCAAGTGATGCGCCTTCTTGATTTTTGAGCATCCAAAATATGCTACTGTAATTTATTTGAGTACATCAGAAAGATTAAAGAGGCTTTAATCGGATTTTAGCCGGTGCACAGCGAATTGTTCAACAGATACACCTGTGCTTCGTTTCTACCACTAGGCGGCTCTCTTTCGAAAAGATTTCGACCTAGAATCTAGTGGAGAGAACCAAAGCAAATATGGTAAGTAAAGAAACAAAAGTAGAAATAGCAACTAGTCCATAGCACCAACCGAATCTCAATATTAATAAGATATTAATTTATTTACATTAAAGGAAAGGAATCGAACCTGAGGAACCTGAGGTTCTCAAGCAAAGTAAAATACTATTAATAGTATTTATAGTAAAATACTATTAATTCTTTTATCTATGCAAAATATTAATTAACCTTATTAATATCAACATTAATAGTAATTTTAATTAAGATGAGTGAGTGTTTAAAGTTTTTAAAGTTTTAAAAATAAATAATAAATAATAATAATCAATAAAAATAAGTAAATAAATAAAATAAATAAATAATAATAATTTGCTTCAAAAAAAGAATAAAATGTGATTTTTTCCCAAAAAAACAAATAAAATAATGAGAAAAATTCCAAAATTGTCAAGTAAAACGAGAATACAAGTAAATTTTGCTCACAATTATGAATAAAGTAAATTTCTTCAAATTTTCCGTCGCTATGGTCTTTTTTAAGAGCCAAATGTATTCATTTTAAATTTCATAATAAAATTCTGAATAAAATTAAATAGCTGATGGAGAATTGATGAAGAGAGATTCTCGGATTATGGTTTGGGAATAACCGGTTTAAAAAAAAAGAAATAAGAAAAATGTTTTAAGAAGGATTGGTGCAAAGTAGTGGTAGTGGTTCTCAACCTTTCTCGCTTTGAGGATCTTTGCTATTAAAAATTGATTTTGAGAACCATTAAAATGAACCATATCATTCGTGAATTTTACCTAGAGAGATTCGCTGTATTGGAAACTAAACGAATTTCCAAAATATTTATCAAGTCATTTGAACTTTCCATTCTTAAATAAAATATTCATTCACACACCTTGCTAAGTCAAGTTATATTATGAGAAATGAGTGAAAAAGGCATCGTAGTATCGTGTCGTAGTACTATTAGTAGAAAGTCATGAAAATCTGGTTCGGAAAAGCAATTTTAAAAAGCAGCTTAAAGTGGGGAATTTAGGATTAACAATTATTTTATTCTTCTTCTAGCAGCAACAACCATCATTGATTTGCATCGCTTCATTGCGACCAGATAACAATTCTTTCCACTCGAAAATGACGATCCATCTTACCTCTACTTTCAGTGACTTCGCAAAAATTTAAATAGTTCTTTTTTTAAATATATTTGGTGAATCGGTAAAAAACCTTGTTAACGAATCAAGTGAAGCCAATCATATCAAAAATTAAAGTCAAAGAAAATTAGTATTTAAAAAGTTTATTTTCTTAATGAAAGAAAAAAAATCACTCTCCGTAAATAGAATAGAATAATGATAATCATCTTCAGCCTCGGGTACCAGAGGCGAGGCCCGGGAAATAGAGAATTCTGCGCAGCATCCTAGCTGTTTCTGATAGCGCTCTTCCAGATAAAGATCACTGATGTTGTTCTTGGAGTTTTTTGAAGCCACTTTTCTAGTTTAGGGGTCATAATTCCAAATGCTCCAATTATCACAGGAATTACTTTGGCCTATACTTTCTTTTCTAGTTCGTTTTTCAACCCTTGGTATTTCTCTTCTCGTATTCTTCTCAAATTAACTTTTCATATTCATCTTCCGAACATTCCTATTATTTGGTATTGTTGTATCTATCACCAGTGTTATTTCTCATTCTTGGCTAACTACCATGATGACTGGTTGATTGGCCAGTAAATATTTGTCTGCCTGGGTGGAAAAGACTCGTAGGATTTTCATTCATTATACTTTACGATTCGCACCTAGTCGCAGAGATCTATGCTATATATACTGAGCGGATGTTCCTGTAAATGATACCAGCTACTTGTATGTTGTTCCTGCTTGCATTTTACATCCTGCCACTATGTTTTGGACTGTTTCTGGGGTGTTTTTAGAATCTTCTATCTAGAATCTAGAATCTTCTCTAGTGTAATAGATCCCTGCTTAAATGGGTGATGATTAGTGCCCATTCTTGTCATACCTTAATGCTGTTTTTTGGCTTTTTCAAACTGCTAGTAGGATTTCTCTATATTAATGATTTATATGTACATACACCAGCTGCTAATAGATAAGACAGTCGCTATAGACTCAAAATTCCAGGCAGACCAATCTGTGGATCGATTTTACGAAAGCCTATGGCTCAGCGTCCCACACATGGATCTATGAATGTCTGGCTCAAAGTCAATAGGACCCTAAAGAGGTTGAAAATTTAATGGGACTATGGGAAACGACAAACTTGAAATGAAATCGAAACAGCTTGCACAGCTTGTAGCTATCAATTGCTGCATATACCAAGGCGATGCATTGTCGCCTCGACTTTCTGTATAGGTGTGGACTCCCTCAGTTAGATAGTCACCAAAAGCTGATATGGATACAGATATAAGAGCGAGATTACGATCAGCCATCTTCTCTCATGGATGACATCAAGTTATATTAAAAAAATGAACGAAATATTGGCTCGCTCATCCATCTAATTCGGATCTACAGTGAGGTCATTGGGATGTCATTCGACTTAAAGAAATGTGGCCGGTAAAGAAGCTAAGTAATGACTAATGGGGCTGACCTATCAACAGAGGAAATAGCCGATATATAAGTTAGCTACAACTACTTTAGTATCCCAGAGTTTCATGGTGACCATGAAGAGGATGGCAAGGAAGACTGCAACATTTTAGTATCATCAAAGGATAAGATAAATTTTGAAGAATCAGCTCGGTGGGATGAAGAAAATCCATGCCATAAATATGTACGCCTTACCAGTCACCAGGCACACAGCATTGTACAATGGACAACGGAAAACGTGGAGGCTACTGATGTAAAGATCAGAATTTTATAAATTTCCATCCCAAGTCCAACACCCAAAGACTATATATCAGCCGTAAAAAAAAGCGGATGGGGCTCAGTGAATGAAAGCCACTATCTTGAATGAAACTCGAAAAATTCAAAAATATTTTAGCAAGATTGAACTAAGCATGAATTGCTAAGAGAATGTCTGAAACATGTAAAAACGTTGGAAGACGATCAAGCATCAACGATTAAGTTATGGCAAGGTCCTCTATGGATTAGACTATCGACAGACAACTGAGGTAGTTGACATTGTAAAATCTTACCAGTGGTTGGAGAAAGACGGAATAAAAGGCTAGAGGCATTGAATATAGTAGCACAGGACCAAGTACCAAGCAACAGATCCATCGAAACAAGGATCTACCTCACTAGGACTTAAGGTACAGATTGTACAAAACCCAGAAACAGTCCAACACAAGTGGCAAGATGTAAAATGCAAGCGAGAAGAACGTACATTGAAAGGCATAACCAAATAGCTGGCATCACCTACAGGAACAACTGCTCGATATATGGCTTAGGCCCATCCCAAGGCCAGATGGGAAACTCCCAAAAAATAGTGGAGAATAAGGCGAAAATTCTGTTCTTCTCCATCCAGACATGCAAAATGCTGGCCGATCAACCAAATATTGTGCTAACAGACAAGAATCTGAAATTAGCACTGGTGATAAACATAACAATACCATGTAGCAGGGACAGGGACATGAGCAAGAAGGAATATAAGAAGTTATAAGGGCTGAAAGAAAAATTAAAGAAAATGTGGAAAGTGAAGGCCAAAGTAATTCCGCACTAGGAACTTCTAAACAAGAAAAGTGGTTTCAAAAGAGACCAGGAACATCAGAGATCAGAGATCTTAGTCAGAAGAGCGCAACATTATAAAGAGCTAAGATGCTTGCAAGGTTGAGGATGATTATGACCCGGAGGATTTTAAGAAAATCATGAAATGCAACAAATCTGGTGAGCAAACAGGCATTTTTGATTTTGCCTGCTTTTCGTACTCTACGCCAGAATAGTTTGTATTTAACTGGTATGTTTGTGTTTTTTTAGTCTTTTGTGCTATGTTTTTGATCGGTATGTTTTTTTTTGTATTTGGAACTTTCACTTAAAGGCCTCAATTTCCTTTTAGTATTTGATCACCTAAAGCAATAAGTGCTCCTACTCCTGCTAGTGCGTTATTTCATAGAAGTACTCTTGTTACTGCTGGGTTCTTTTTAAGTGTGTATTTTTCTGAATTGCTATGTTTGGATTCAATATTTTTTATTGATCTTTTTACTATATTTTCTTAAGTGATTATGCATATATCGCCAAAACTATTGAAAATTAGACTTACTAATCAACAAGGATAAATTATTAAAGAATTAGTTGCTAATGCGACAATAACAAGGTAGAATAGTACGTCGATGGCTGTGTAACATGGACGCACATCAGCAAGAGATTCAGAATAATAATAGGCCAGCACAAAATAAATAGACTAGTTATAGCTGACAAGAGTTGCCAGAGGACCAGTGAGGAATAGGCAAGAGAATTTACACAACAACGGCCTCTGAAGACTCAAGGGGAGTGAAAAAAGGCGCATATCGCAGAAATTTAAAAAGGTGCAAGGCCGAGGTCCTCAAAAGCAGTCTTCCTTTCCGTCGTTCAGCGACAGCATGAGCGGTCGCATTCTCCGTTATAAATATTGCAGGGCAAGATATTAAAATTAAGTTGAAATTGATTCCCTCAGCCTAATTCTTCGCTTTATTGTAAATGAATTATTGGAAATGAATTAGAGCCATACACAATAGAACGAGACTAAAGACTTATATAAATGAGTTAAATACAATTAATTATAAAAGTTTTTGACATAAATCAATTGGTGCAGACCAAACATGCTAAGTTTTTAAACAACTTACAATAATAAACAATGGTATAATAATAATAATTAATAATAATAATAATTAATAATAATAATAATAAAATAATAATAAATAACAGTAATAAATAATAGTTAATAACAATAAATAATAATTAATAATAATAAACAATAATAATCAATAATAACGATAGTATTTAATAACAATCATAATAATAATATTAATAATTATAATAATAGTAATAATAATGATAATAACAATAATATTAATAATATTAATGTTAATAAAATAGCCCAAAGCCGAAAGTAAATGGCCAGAGAGAGCAAATTTATGCCTCTTTGCACGATGAATAATTGAATCAATGTTAGTCTAAGAAAAGCATTCAGTAGAAAAGAAGATCAAGAGAAATCTTTTTGAGTAAAAAGTGGAGATCTTCGATAATTGAAAATTATTTTCCAGCAACGTAATATTACCATTGTTTTTGAAAAGCCTAAAATATTTCCTAGATACTTGACATATTATTTAATAAACTACTACATTCTATGAATGAAATATGTGTGTTTTTTGTGTGGCATATTTGCAGATATGCCGAATTCCCAATAAAAACATCCGTGAAAAATAGCAAGTATGGCTTTTGCGATATACGGCTTTTTCGCATGGTTCATCAAGCTTCTGTCAAATAAAAAACTACATTCGTTACACAGAATTGTTTCGAAGTCAACCTTGTTTCTTTTCCATCGAATTTTGTTTATTAACATTTTTCAAAAATCTTCAGAAGCTAAATAAACCATGGGAGTAAATAAATATAACTCATATAAATGCAGCAGAAAAACTTTTTAACTCAACTCGGGTTCAAAAAAGCAAACCTTCAAACTACAAACGATACGGACGATACGGACGATTAGAGTTGACTAGTGCTTTGGCAAAACATTCCTTCCCAGAGAGTCAATCGAGAATTTCCTAAAGCTTAAAAGAGCAGAACTCAAGAGCTTTGTGAATTTTATATCCGAGTGTGAATACGTTCTACATTACAGTTGATATCAGTGACCCTTGATATAGAAATTAAATAAAACTCCGAATATGTTCAATTCAAACTAATACGATTATAATTTGATACTTTTGTCGTACTAAAATCAAAATGTTATTTGATTGACATGCAAAAATTTTTTTACGACCTCTTATTTATTGTTGAAAATTTTTTATTTCAATCCTTTGCAGATAAGATTTGAGTGAACTTATTAAATTTTTTAAAGAGCTTTTACTTTTAAAGAAAATAGTTCCATAAAGTGTACATTTTATCGTAAAATCCTCATAAAAAAATGGCTAATATAAATAATTAAGCAAATTAAGCATATTAATAAACATAAATAATTAAGCAAATTAAGAAGAAAAATTAGTATGCTATCCAAGACAAAGAAAAATCATCAAAACAGAGGGTTGAAATAGATAAAACTAAAGTTGAAAAAAATTAAAGAAACAAATATTTACAACTATGTTTGGGTAAAACAGAGAAAAAACTTTGCAATTTCTGACCCAACAAAAATTTTGTAATTGCAAAATTTTTCTCATAATAAAAAAAAGAGAAGAGAAAAAGAAAAATTAGCATTAAAAATGAAATTAAATTCAAAAAAAGTGATTAAATGAATAAAATCAAAGGAAATACTATCCCGGAGCGAATTTCCATTCTTGACGACAAAGTGGACACTGAGGTCGAGGCGTATTTTGAGTCTCAGTCCATTTCACGATACAATGCATGTGAAAAGCATGTTGACAAATTCCAACTGCCTGAAAAACCTTTTTTTTTCATTTACAATGGAAAAACCTGGAATATCTTCCTAGACATTAAACGATTAAAAAATAAAATAAAATTTTAAATCGCACACCAAAGGGCATTCATCACCAGGCGTTTTACAAGTAACGCAACAAGCTTCAAACGGCATCCTGCAAATTCCACAGGTTTCATCACGAGCCACCCATTTCCAGGCTGCAGCAACCTATACAAAAACTCTTTTGAAATAATTCATTTTGAGATTTTCCAGGTAAAATTTTAAAATTTTTAAAATTATTTCTGACAACAACAAAAAGAACTTTTAGAATTATTATTATTAATTTTCATTAAATTTTAAAGCAATAACAAACCATAAAATACAAAATAATAAATTACAAATCTAAATCTTCGAAATGCTTTTACCTAAATGGATTTGTTGAAATGAAAAACTAACAGTCCAATTTTTGATGATTAATTTCAATCGCGTATCGGTCGGCAAATGTAAAGGTACAGGTTGATCAACGGGCATATCAGATGAAAAAATCGAGTTTTTTGGAGTGCCAGTGTTCAGCGAACTTGTTTCCTGTATTTAATAATATAACATTATGGCTGATATTGGGGAACTATATCAAAGGCTAGCAAAAAGCTTATCTTAACAATGCAGCCAGTCAAAAAATGGCAGTTGTTTTTAGAAGAAGAATACTATAGTATGATGGAAGTTTATAAACGATTGCAAATAAATGAAATAAATGAAAATAATTATATATAATTGCATATACAAATAAAAATAATTTACGATATCGCGTAGTAAAGTAGCGTTTGATTGAGATGACGCTTCAAAATGATTGTCATTTGTCGAACTTGAAGTATTCCTCGGTTCCTCAATAGAAAGATTCAAAATAACCATATCCTAAACTAATTAAATCAATAAATATTTAATTTAATCCATCATTAAAAAGGTTTTTTGTCATAAAAAATAAAAATCTATCATAAATTAACCAACAAAATGAAAATATATGATAATGCTAAATAATTACGATACAAACCATTGCAAAAATCGAAATAAAACTAAAGGTAGATTGAGAGAACAAAATTTTGTACAGCACTTGCTCAGTTATTAAGAAACATACACCATCATTCGCGAAAGAAGAGCTACTTCGACCACTTTCACTATTTTCATCATCATTCGCGACTGCTGACATTGACATTTCAGTTAAGTGATCACCATTTTCATCGTTAATTGATGATAAATTATCCAAACCATTTCTTAAAGACGGAGATGCAATTCTAGATTCCATCGCAAGATCAGATATACCTAATATAGCTGCAGGTTGATCAGGTTGACCTGAATTCTAAATTTTAAATTCCATTTATAAGGAACAATAATACCATAATGGACTTTACAAAAATGATGATATACGACCTAATATATTTCACCTGAATGAACTGTAGATGAAGTCGCTATGTTATGAGAGAGAAAAATATCGTTATTATCCGAATTAAACCAAGCGTTCACTTCAGCCGATGGGCTAGCACTCTAAAATTAATTTTTCAATCAAGAAGCGATTCAAACAAAAATTTAAATAAAATCAAAAAATTTAAATTCTAATCAACTTCTTCTAATAGCTCACATCAGATTGATTATATCTTAGACAGTTGGAAAATTTCCGTACTAGGTAGTCGTTCCTACTGTGGCGCTGAAACGAGCAATCTTTATGGATCTGATCATGTTATGGTTCGAGCCAAGATCCACATAAAACTGACAATTCAAAGAAAATAGCATCACCCAAGGTCCTTAAGCCATCTCAAACTAAAAAATTCGCCGGCAATGAGTGCATTTCAAACTGAATTATTGAAGCATCTCAGTGATATCAATGACAAATATCAATAACTTTGGTGATATGACATACTGCGACAATTATCGAGGAGTCAGCCTACTAAACGTCTCAGTAAAAATTTTTGCTTCCCTTGAACTCAACTTATGGAAGTACGAGATAGTAGGATGCGCCCTAATCAAGCTAGATTCAGACTGGCGCGCTGACCAGATATTTAAGTAAGAAGGATGTTGGAACATCGCTTCAGATATTTGCAACCTATTGTCACGTGTTTCATCGACTTTGCCTTTGATTCATTTGATAGAAAGGCACCTTGGAGGGTTATGGAATGCGACAGTGTTCCAGAGAAGATTATTCGACTCATAAAGGCATTTTATGAGCTTACGTCGGCGCAGATCTGTGTATATGGGGAAACTGGCAGACTCCTTCAAAATAAGAACTGGTGTCCGTCAAGGCTGCGTCCTTTCTCCTACAATATCCGACTGTGCGATAGACTGGGTAACACCGCTTGTCGGCACTCAAGGGATATCCAAATCAGTCCAGAGCATCGTATCAGAGATCTTGAATACGCTAATGATGTAGTCCTTTTTGTTGACAGTTATGACGAAATGCAAGTAATGCCAAATAACGTATCAGAAACTGCAGCAAAAATAGGACTCAGGGTCAATGTATGCAAAACGAAAGTTTTTTCTTTTATGCACGAAAACTGATGAAATGCCTCTTTTTGTAAATTCATTGCCAGTCGATAAAATGTCCGATTTTAAATACCTTAGGTCCACTCTAATACCAAATGGCCAGATAAAAGACGATACTATAACCCGGATCATGGTAGCTAGAAATGCGTTCTTCCAGTTGACGAAACTTTTATGGAACCGTCGTAAAATTACCATTAAAACGAAAGTCCGCATTTATATAGTTCGTTCGATCTTGCTATATGGTTCTGAGACATGGCCAATGAAAGTGGAGGATACTAAGAAGCTATCAACTTTTGACCTCCTTGAAAACGTCTTTTCTTTCTAGCTGTTGCAGCCAGTCTAACCAGTAAAGGTGAGAACTATTAGAAGAAGAATAGCTCTCTCACCAATACTGTCTGCTCCGCTAGCTACAAGGACAAAATGTTTCCAAGCGGCGCCGTCTGATGCCATCGTCGACAGTAATAGACGCCATTCTTTTTTCCATTGTCTAAGCCCATACATTGCTGGTCCACTTATATGTTCAAAATCTTTCCTGATAATGTGAGTCCAAGTCTTGATTGGTCCACCAAACTTTTAACGTTACCCATGACATGGTTTAGCAAATAACGAAATATATTTCAACTCTTGTGGTGGACGACGGAAGATTCACGCCCTAATCAAAGAAAGCGACACTGTTAATGCAAATGGTATTTAAACGAAGGTGGATGCAATTATGTGAGATTTTATCCACTCGGTGAACTCGTAAAATATACATGAGTAATCAAATAAATATAACCTCTTAATATCCTCCACTCTCATTGGCCATGTTTCGCAGCCATATAGCAAGATCGAACAACCATATATACACGGACTTTAATGTTTTCTAATGATCTCGCGAGTTCATAAAGGTTTCATCAACTGGAAGAACGCATTTCTAGCTGTCGTTATCTGGGTTATAATTTCATCTTTTTCTTGGCCATTCGGTACTAGAACTGATCCAAGGTATTTAAAATAGGGCATTTCCTCAATTGGCAATGAGTTTATAAAGAGGCTTTTTATCAGCTTTTTGTATAAAAGGCGATAAGACTTTCGTTTTATTTACAGCGTACGATTCTCACTGCAGTTGGTCGCACATTGTTTAGCATTTCGTCATAATTGTAAAAAAGGACTACATCATCAGCATGGTTAAAATCTGCTATACGATGCTTTGGATTGATTTGTACATCTCTTAAGTTCTAACAAGCGATGTCCGGTTTATCATTCAGTAAATAATGTAGGAGGAAGGATGCGGCCCTGAACATCAGTTTTCATTTCGAAGAAGTCTGTTAGTTCCTCATGTACATGCGCCGACATATGCTGATAAAATGCCTTTATGAGTCGAATGATCTTGAATGATCTCTGGTACACCGTCGCGTTCTAGCACTCTCAAAAGCGCCGTTCTATCAACTGAATCGAAATCAGTCGCAAAGTCGATGAAACAATAATGGAGGTTGCAGATATTTGGAAAGCAATGTTCCATTACCTTCCTTTCCATGGATAACTGGTCACCACAACCGCGCCCCGGGCTTGAATCCAGCTTGATTAAAGCGCATCCTGCTGTCCCGTACTGCTATAAGTCTATTCACTATTGAATAAAAGAAAAGCAAAAATTTTCACAGAATTTTCGCTGACGTCTAGTAGGCTGATTCCTCGATAATTCTCGCAATATGTCCTGTCATCTTCTTGGGCATTGGGAGCAAAATTGCTTTGCTCCAGTCATCTGGTATTATTTTTTTCTTCTACACCAGAAAGTACATTTGTTAAAGGAACGTTATGAAGGGCAATGGACAGCATTTGAAGAGTTCAGCCTGAGGACCATCTTCTCCCGGAGTCTTATTGGCCTTAAGCTTGTGGATAATAAAGATTCTAATCAACTAAGCAAAATCAAAAAATTCTGTGTAAATTAAGAATAAATGCTTCTGATTTCCTTTTAATTGTCATGATTATTTATATTTTTGATTGACACTTTTTATTTATTATTTATTAATCTTTTCAAAGAGAAAATATATGCTGTATTTTGCAGGAAAGGAAAGGAATGTTAAAATAAAATAACTATACTTCGCTACTTAATTCCCAATCTTGAGCTGTTCGTTGAGCTCGACTGATAAATCCCTCAGATATGTCATTTGAGGTGGGCATTCCTCCAATCGAAGATGAAAATGGCGTATTTATAATCATAAAATCGCTATGCGATACTGAACTGGAATTCGCTGAATCCACCGTAAATGGATTTTCTGACCTAAATTTACGAATTTTCATGTATCATTGAAAAATTCAGTTATTCTAAAAATAACTCAGAATTCACTTTAATTGCTAATAATATTTAAAATTTAGCAGCAAAAACTTAAAGAAACAGAACGTTTCTTGAAAAATTATTGGAAAATATATTAAAGTTTAGAAAAATATATTTTATTAAATTAATAAAATACAACTGGTAATTTGTAAAAGATCCTCCATGTGACATTATTCGGTTGGAAGAAATTTCACTGAATTCTGAAAAATTAAAATTCATGGAAAATACTAAGCATTTTATTTTTCGTTAGATGGACAACGCAGGCAGCGCGCGTTTCCCTTTCCCTTTCATTTCCTTCTGCTGCAGTACCTATTTTTCTTCACTAAAAACAGACAGCGCTTGCCATATAAAATTTGCTTGTTGCTTTAAAAATGCAAAAGAGCGAAAATATTCGGCGATCTCCCCTTGCCGATAACTGATGAGAACCTTTCGCCAGATAGTACTTCGATGCGGAAGACGGAAAGAATAAGCAAGTCGGCCCGGCTTTACCGAAACGGCAAATCGCCTCTTCCCCCCCCCCCCCCATCAAACCCCTTTTTGATTAAACTTAAAATAAAATTTAAAATAAAATTTAAAAAGTGCCACTTTTCGTGCAAAATTTTATTTTAACACAAATTCTAGCGCGATTTATTGGATGGATTTTTAGAATTTACATAAATTTAAATTTAAATTTATTTTTAAATCTTCATAAAAGAAGAAAAAAAGCAGTAAAAAGAATATAACAAAAGTGCAAATATGTGCAATAAGCTATAAAGCGACTGAGTTGGAAATTTCAGCTGACTGACAGATAGTAATGAGACTGCCTATTATAAATTTCTAATGGTCAACGCAGATGGAGTGTAATTAGTGGGATCGGTTAATCAATTTTAGGAGTACTGAATTTGTCGTTAGTTTAATTGTTTGCTTGTTTGTTAGTTAATTGTTGTAAAAAAGTTTAGATAATTTTTCAGCATGTTGAATGATTTATTCGATTCATTTTTTTCACTTTTTCGAACAAATTTAAAATGCAAAAATTTGCTTCAGAAATACAACTTTGTTAATTCATTTTTGGATTATTCTCGTAACGAATTTTTTATTTTATTGAATTAAAAATTTAGTTATTTCCAGTGAAATTTTATTTTTATTGCAGTTTTTATGTTTTCCTTTTTTTCTTTCTACTTTAGCATTTTTCAAAGAATTTTTGCGAAAATCCCAACAGCGACAGCCAAATGTCAGTCGCTCTTTGCTTCCCTTCGCCTGCTGCTCGCATTCAGAGATTTTCATCAGAGTATTAATCGAATAAGTTCCAGTGAGTTGCGAGTCGCTCTTGGTCTCGAAGACATATGGAGGTGGTGGATGCGAGCGCCACTTGCGGTGATGTTGTTATGGCTGACTCACAAGAGGTCAGGGAAGACAGGCAGCGACGCAGACAGGACGGTCCTCCTTTCTTTTTCTTCTTTTGAAGACTGCAGGAAGGGAATTGAGGGATGCCTTGAAAACTTGATTTCTATAATTTCTGCAGTGGTTTTCTAAATATAAAATCTAATTTTAGAAGAAAAAGATGTAACCATAATGGACGCCGAGGGCAGTTTACCTGCAAATGACGCATTTATGGCGTCGTCGACCATCAGAGTCTTCAGTAACAGTGCTCATACCGAAAGCACATTACAGGAATGCATACCTTTTAGAGATGTTAGTTTCATTAAAATTAACTTGATTCATCCAAGTAAGAATTCATTGGAAAAAATGTCGTGGGAACTCGTTATGTATATAAATAGATTATGTATAAATAGAATAGAAAATAAATAGAAAAATAAGGAAAATTCATGAAAATTCATATAACACTATGTGAAAAAGCATTGGCCAATAGTAGCTGAACATTTTGCCAATAATGAGCAAGTGGACAAATATTGTTTAATGGTAGAATAATTGCACAAAAGTAGCAACTATGAAATCGAGATAGATTTCACAGTCATCATGCTGATTCTTTTTCAGTTTTATAAAATGATATTATAAATTATTGCAAAATAAAGATTTTTTAAATGATTTTCATATTAGCAAAGTAATTTCATGTTCGGTTTTTTTTTCTATATGATTTGTACGAAGTTTTGGCTAAAAATTCTTTAAGAGAATAAGAAAGAAGAGATCAAGAAAATATTCAAGAGGCAAAATATTAATTTAATTATAACCCATAAATTTTATAGTTCGATATATTCATGTTTATAAATTGGCTCTTTCACCAAATGTTATATAAGATTTTTATTCACATTTCTTTGCAAATTTAATTATATTTGTAGCACAATGCTTTATCCAAGAAGATAGAAGAAATGGAAAAGAAAGAATTGAATTCAAATATTTTATTAAATTCATCATTTTATTCTGAACTTCTCTTGTGTTATTTATTGCAACAAAACTGGATAAAGGTGATTTTCTTCTATTCATTTAAATAATTCCATTTTTTGCCATAGGGTAGGGTAAGCAAGGTTTTTTCCTTTTTTTAAATTTTGAAATTATTTATCACTTATCGAAAAAGCAAATTGAATTTAGGCTAAATATTGCCGTATGCGTGCTAAGACGTTAATTAATGAGGAAATAATTCAAATCTCACATCATCTCGAACATAAAGAGACGGGTCCAGCTTTAGTTTGTCTTAAGATGGGAACATTTCCACAATATTTATGGTTAGGAATTAGATTATTTAAATTTCAATTCTATGGTTAAAAATATTATTCACTTTTGATTTTCTAAATAATTGCAGTGAATTGGTAGAAGAGTTGCGAAAACGGACGACTATTTATGCGTTAAAACTTATATTACGATGTTATTCAATAATTTCATGGCAAAAAATGGCACTGTTTTTGGGTATGCAGGAAGAAAAGGAAGTGCAAAATGTTGGTTTCTTATTTTTGTTTCTTATTTTTTATAAATATTAGGTTTTTCTTTATTCATTTTTCCTCATTTAGGTTTTGAACGAAGTAAAATGGTCAAGAAACGACAATGGTTTAATTTTTCCGAGTATGACACCAGAATTTAATACTTTATTAAGACAAATTGATGTAAAATTGGATTCTAATTCGCAGTGGATTGTCAGAAAAAATCCTGAAGAACATATTCAAAACTGTTTGCATACTTTAGATAGGATTATTCATTATGCCTCTTCGTTAGAGGAATCCTGAAATTTATTAAACACCTATACGTTAAGGCAAATATATCTCGTTTATTTCATTTCAATATTTTTTTTCAATTTTATTTGATCGAAATCAAATTCTTTAGTGTATTTGACTTAATTTTCTTGATATTTTTTTCATTCAGGGTGAACACCTTATAAGAGTTTTATTGTCCATCTGTGGAAGATTTAGTTTTTCTCATAATTTTATTGCATCTTTTTTCTTTTTTTTAGATGTTATATTTATTCATGTTGATTATTTCATGACTGGCGTACTGGAGGCAACCATCTTTTAAACGATAACCAGTCGTGGTCTTAATTATTATTAGTCCTTTTTGTTTTGTTTTTTAAAAATTTTTCCTTTTTCAACTGAGGATTCCTCACAAGTTTTACAATGAAATGGAATTGTTTATATTAATCACTTTTTAAAAATTTTTCATCGATTAAAAGTTTGCTCAATATTGATTATTTACTGAATAATTAATGATTGTTTAGTAAGGTCAAAGACAGTAAAAGTTCATCAGTTCATTTTATTAATTTCACTGAAATAAATTTCGATCGAAGTTCTAATTTTCTGTTTTAATAATTTCTGATCAATGTGAGGCAGTATTACTTTCTTCTTTTTTAAAATGTGGGATCAACATTGGTCATAACTGCTGTTGGCGGCCTATCGGTACTTGTGTCGTCCAGTGATTTCCTGGAGAGTTTCCTCCAGCAGAGAGCGGAGCGAGCATAAGCAAAGATGGTAAGACTTAACTTTTTACAGAATAGGAATCATTTTCTTTAATTTTAGCATGTTGAAGGTTAAATTATTGATATATTTCTGTACATTGCTCGCGACGGGGAATGGTGTTGGATCGAGGGAACGGAATGAAATTTATCTCGCAACGAATGTAACACTCGCTAAAATGCTTCCAGGGGTCAATTGCCGCAAACATGTTGGATTTTCGGGCCGCGTTACTCTCCTATCTGCCGCCGGGCTTCGTTTTTGTCACGCGTCGAAGCGGGAATAATTTTAAAATTTTTCATCGTTGGACTGCCTGTCTCGACATTCGCTGCTTTTAAGAGTTGGCGGTTGTTGCTTGGATAAATTTCTATCGACTTATTGGGTGTTAATGAAAGGTGAGATTGGTGCCAATCGGTTTCGCAGCCTTTGTTTCGTTGCTTTTTTAAAAATTAAAAGTTACTTGGACGAATATTTGTAGAAGTGTGAGGAAGGTGAAGAAAAATGCGCATAAGTGAGTAAACTTGCAGCCGTAAAGCTTTAGAAGTGGAATCAGTCGAGCGCTTATAAATCCTTTTATTGTTTGCTGTGAACGAATTAATGAGGGATTTTGTAGATGAAATGGCTCTTCGGAGTTGTCCGACACGCATTGGCGGCCCCTCACCGTCCTCTAATAACATCCAGCATTTTCGATCAGATTTGATTAGCACGGTGGAACTCGCGTGGGAGAGGCACAGCGTTCGGCTGCTCACCTCGATTTCATTTTTAAGGTAAAATTGCTGGAGGAGAAGTCGGATGCTTTCTGCACTCAAAAGACAGACATTAGAGGTGTCCTTAGTGGTAGATTGTCGCATCGGTGGCAAACAATTACGCAAAATAAATTTTAATAAATCGCTCAGAATATGCAGTAAAATATGTCTTTTCTATGTCGTTTGCTCACCTCATTAATAGACTTCTAAAAGGTCAAAAAACCAACTCTGGTGGAAATTTTTCAGGAAGATTTCTTACTGAATTTTACTCTCATCGTAAGGTTTTTTATAAGTTTTTTGAGGAAGAGAAAAAAATTTTTACGCAGCAAGATTTTTAAGATGAAAAAATGCGATGTCGCTTTATGTGGAGATGACCATGAATATCTTTTGAAATTCTTGCTTGTTGGCGATTCGGATGTTGGCAAAAATGAAATCGCTGACTTTTTAGGAGCTTCCAGTTCGTCAAATTCTGGTGATATTTTACACCTTTTTTTTTATTCAATTGTTGTGTCATACTTTTTTTCTTTATAAATAATATTTTTCCTTCTTTATAAATAATAATATATAATAATAATATTATTCTTTATAAATACTTCTTTATAAATAATATAATATTATTATAAATAATAAATAATATAAATAATAATATAAATAATAATATAAAATAATATTTCCTTCTTTATAAACAAATAATATAAATAATAATATTTGGATAATATTTGCACTGCTTTTTCTTCATATGGAATATCATTTCTTATAACAATTCATTAAATTAATATTTTGTAAATATTCTTCAAGTTTTTTTATGCTACAAAGGAATGAAATTTTTTTCCACCGAATAGTGCTGCAAACATCTGAGATGCTATAAGATGCATTAGATAGAACTTCCCATCCATGCATTGTGATATTTTTTGAAACGTGAACTCTTACGCTATCATACTGCACTTTTGCTTTTAGCTATTCGAGCAGTTTGTTCTTGAAATTACTGGTTTGTTCACAACAGATATCAGAGATAATAGGTTGACGAGGTCCGCCAATATTGAATTGTCCCCTTTATTGCACACTGCACACACGCAATAGTACTTTTCTATTACAGTTTCAGCAGTTGTTGTTGACGTTTCTTGTGCTGATGAGCAGTTATGACAAGGATTATCGTAGAAATTTGATACTCATATCAGAAATTACTTTTGCTCATTTTGCTACCTCTGAAATTTCTGCCTCAGAAAAATGGCAATATTTTTGAAAAAACTTACTAACGGCTGGAAAGGCATCACTGAGGCACCGAGGCATTGGTATATTTATCTAACGATTTTATGAGTGACTGATAGATCAACTGGACGGTTTTGATGGAAAAATATAGCATCATAATAGCACAAGAGCAAGCATTAATTACCAGATCCATAGAAACAAAGATTTAACACAGGCGCAGATTGTGTAGAAATGCCCCAGAAATAGTCTGGCACATGGTGGCAAAATGTAAAATGCTGGAGGAAGAATATAAACTGAAGGGCTTACTAACCAAGTACCTGGCATTGCCTACAAGGATCAGTATATTACTTAGGTCCTCTCGAGAATAGATGGGAGATTTCCCATAAAGTTATAGAGAATAATAAGGCGAGTTCTTCATCTTTAGTAGGACAGATACGGGTCAATCAACCAGATATTGTGGTAAGAACCAGAAATCAGTACTGATGATAGATATAGGACTATCAAGTAGTAGGGACGTTAGAAAGAAGGAATATAAGAAGTTGGAAAAATATCAAGGGTCAAGGGAAAGAGGAATTAGAGAAGATGTGGAAAGTGAAGTCCAAAGTAATTCCAGTAATAATTGGAGCACTATGAACTCTAGAAAAGTGGCTTCAAAAAACTCCAGGGACATCAGAGATCTTTATTAATAAGAACACTATTAGGAATAGCTAAGATACTCGCAGAACCCTCAAGCCTGTGGTAGAGGAACCGATCTTGAGAATCCTTAATTGTCCTTTCCACTCACAGGAAATGAGAAAAGATTTAATATAAATATATATAAAATTTTTGGCATGATAACAAGTTTTTTATTAACGGTCTTTATTTATTTAATGAGATGAATTTCAGCAATTTTTTTTCAGTTTATTTTCATTAATATGGTTATAGCACATATTTGTGAGATAAATAATTTATTTCAATAATTTTTATTCGAATGGGTTTATACATTTTTTTCGAATTAAAATTAAAAGAAAATCCGTTCAAAACACTTATTCATTCAAGATTTGATAAAGATAAAGATCACGATTGATAAATGTGTTTTAAGGTGCTAAAAGTTGATGCTAAAATATTTTTTAGCTGTCACAATTCCCAAGACCACCATTATTTTGCTGGAAGGAAAAAGAGTTCGCTTGCAATTATGGTTGTTTCTTTTAAAATTTTATTTTTGAATTATATAATTGTAATACTTTTCAAATTAGGTGCGGCTTGCGAAATGAATTTTAAAGTACTTTAGTGCCCTATTATTATTATACTTTAACCTATTATTTACTCAGATCTTGGTTTTTTTTAAGGGATACGTCAGGACAAGGACGATTTTCCACAGTTATAAAATCTTATTCACGAGGAGCTGAAGGCATATTATTGGTGTATGATATTACAAATCGATGGTCATTTGATGGCATTCGACGATGGCTTACGGAAATAGAATTTGTAAGAATATTTTGGTTGCTGAACTATATAGGTTTATAGGAATTATATGAATTTACAGTATTCAGCAATCCAACATTTATATAACATTTTGCTAAATATCTTTCTTTTTATTCGCTGAATTTTAGCATGCCCCAGGGATTCCCAAAATTCTAATTGGTAATCGCCTTCATCTTGAATTTAAAAGAGCCGTTTCCCGTCATGAAGCTGAAATTTTCGCTCGTAAACGGAATATGCAATATTATGAAGTGAAGTTTCCCTTCGTAAAATCTTAAGATTGTTATTTTATCGAAATTTTTATGTTAATTTTCAAATTGATTTTAAAAAAACCGTGAATTTGAAGAGTTTTCAAAGTATTTCCTATATTTTCTTGAACATTTTCATATCATAATTTAAAATTTTCTTAAATTTAAATTCTTAAGAGGATAAAGATTTTTAGAAAGTTATAGTTGCAATTTAAAATAAAATAAAATTTTAAGATTTCAACATTGGCATATTTTAACGTACAAGAATGTGTTACCGAATTAGCTCGTTTGGTTATTTTGAGAAATGGTATACGATGGCTAAGACAGCCTAACCAAGGTGATGTCAAAAATATTTTTTTCGTGAATTTGCCATTCATTTTTTTGATTTTTTCATTTTAATTTTGTATTTGATTATTTTTCATATTTTCTATTCGTCTTACGTAGAGTCCAATCATATTTATTAAACAGCCTTTTCACTGGGTTCATTTTCTATCATAAAAAGGCGCTAATTTTTGATGAAATTAATTTTGCCAACTCATATATTTGCTTTTTTTCAGTGTTATCGCTGCAAGATCTGTGTAGTCGTGTAGTTATTCGCAGTGTCATTAATATACATGCCATACAAAGACTGCCTCTCCCATCTTTTTTAAAATCCGAAGTTAGTTTATAACCAGTGAATGGTGATATGAAACTCAATTTATTCTGAGCATTCATAGGGAAGTCGATTTTTTATAGAATTAATAGAATTTTGCAAGAATTGATCGGAAACAATGATTATTGGTAAGATTATTTAATTTTTGTTTATTAATTAAAATTTGCCAATTAAAGTTTTAATTTTAGGTTAGATCTTTCGCAAGAGGCGCTGAAATATGTATGGGTTCATCACCAAATCATAATATACAGAACTGTGTTAAAAAAACCAAACGAAGTTCCATATTACTGTTAGCGCGATCAACAAGCCTTATAAACAAACATGCAAAAAATGCAACTTGCGCATTAATGTGATCTACAATTCACCATTGGAACATATAAAGATTGGCAATTGTTTTCTTCTTTAAATGCATTAGAGATTTTTTTTGTTTTTGTTTTTTTTGTTTGTTTTTTTCGTTTGCTGCCACCATTGTCTCTCTGATTTTCTTAAATCATTTTTTTACACATATATATGCATATATAGCCTTTCGCCTCCCATTTGCCTTTTGATTTTATCGCCTCATTTCTTGAGATATTTGTAGGTTCATTAGTTCATTACCAAACCACAACACTGAAATGCGATAAAATTGTTATTTTAGTTTAAAATTTTTGCGAAATTTTTCTATAAAATAATTTATCAAGTGAATAATCATCTGATGATCTGATGATGAATACCTGATCTGATGATATATACACAAAATGCACAAATTATGTAGGAGAGAGGAGGATTATTACGCATTCAGATGAACTTAGTGTTTTAGATTAAGTGAATAATGATGGCCATTGGGAAGAAAATAATATTTTTCCAAAGTGCATTTCCTTTTTAAGATAAGCATTCGTTTTTTTAAGTTTTGGCTAACTCTATTTTTTTCAATAATAATCGATTCTTTTTAGTGTTTTATTCATTGTTTAAGTTATCTCTGCGTTTCGCTCGAGACACAGTTGAAATTTATTTGCATTATTCAAATTGACATTTTATTGCAGTGAAATGCTGGAACCATAACACATCGAAAGGTCCTCGATCAAGTAGATAGGTTGATGAATGAAAAAATGCAATACAAGTGTGACTGGTAGATAAATTTTGGTAGATAAATAAAGAATGCAAGTGTAATTGGTAGATAAATTTTGAAAAATTGCTATTGCTCTTCACTTTGCTCTTCCTTCAGCTTTAAGTTAAGTTAATTGCGCAGAAGTGAATCCTAATGTAAATTTTGGCTAAAATTTTTATGAATTAATAAATGATTTAATAAATTAAATTTTATTCATATTGTTCAAGGTTTTTTTCTTTTCGTCTTTGTTCCTTAAGTAGATTTTTTCTTTTAGTAGTATTTTACAAATATCATACGTTTTTTCTTCATCAGAGTTATTTTAATTCTTTTTTTCGAGATGGGCTATTATATACCATTCTATTATATACCATTTTTTTTCTAAAAGCACTCACCATTGCTGGAAAGTTGCTCCACTGGAAATTACTCTCCTGCAGGAAATTACTCTTTGGAATCGGCATGCCAAATTGAACAACAACGCACAAATCCATTTTACCTCCTTTTGTTCTCGCTGTTCGAAGGTGACTGGTGATTACGATGCATGATGCGTCGGGATTCGAACCTGAGCTTTCCGGATTTTCGGTCACTTCCATCTTGTTATTTTGTCACTGATGCACCTGCAGTACCATTCAAATTATTATTATTGTTGCTAAAATATTAATTATCTTTCTTACTCTTTTCTATTTTATTTCTTTTTCTATGGCTTTTAAAAAGGAAGTTAAAATTGACTGAAGTTTTGGCGGAAATTAAGAGGAGCTGAAAACTGACATATAATGAAGTCTTCAATCAATTGTTTTGCTGCCATTCTCCAATATTTTTCCGGAGTTTTTTCGACAAAACGAATTTCTTTTTTGCCACTTAAATAATTTGTTATTTTCGATTTCTTTTAATATAATTATAAAGGAAAATTTTCTTATAAAAGTTTATATTCATAAGAGTTGTAGGAACAATACAAATGACTTTTCATATGGAAATTAGAAGTTTCGAAAAATGAAAAAACGGTTTTATCGAGAATGCTTCAGCAAATAAAATCTAATACTTTTATGCTGGCAAAATTACGATTTATCAAAATTGACGGTTTGAAACGTTCCTCTAATTCAATACTGCAGTATGGTAGTGTTTTGAGATGCTTACAAGTCACCAGCAAGAAGACTGCGTTTTTTCAAATTGCTTTTGTTTCATATAAACAACAACGATGGCTGACTGTCGATAAACTTAGGAACCCTGTACTTGTGCGTATTTTTTCTAAAAATTTGACAGAATACTGAAAATTTAAAACACGGAAAAAACAATCGAAAAATTGATGAATAGTGATTTACTAAGAAAAAAATAAATCCACTTGATTTATAAAAGAATCATGAAACATATCTGAAAACACTGAATATTTACTGTAAATTATGGATCGAAAATGATGATAAGCAAGAATTCGCGAAGCTGCAAATTTTCAGTAAAAAATTATTTGAGAGCGGAGTCCTTGCAAATTTCACAAGAATCTTGGCAAAATTTCCAAAAAATAAATGAGCATAATAGTGTCTCAAAAACAAGCAATTTTACACATGAAGGAAGAAACAATGATTTATCTAAAATCCATGTTTAACCATAAGATAACTAGAAGTGATACACCAATTCGCAGAATCAAACTAGACGATCGCATATTTTCGCTTCAAATCCTTCTATGATTCGAAGAAAAAATCTTAAATCCATTGTGAATTTTCCAAAAATTGTATTTTCTTTAGAAAGGCAATGGGCTGTAGACCTTTGTGTTTCCGGAAATTTTTGGGATTTTTTAAATAAATTAGACCAAATTTTCAAGGGAGATCCATTGCCATGGCAATTAACATCGACAAAGTGATTACTCGTACTATAAATTCAATAAATGATGCTAAAATGATGATATTTTAACGTATTTTGATGGCCCATCGATATTTTTATTTTTAAGTGAGTTTTTTATTTTGAAGAAACAGGCAAATCAAGAATGGTGCTGCTAGACGAAGATGGTTTGACTTATAAAATTGTCGAAGCTGTATAAACATAGTTGAAGTAGTACCGCACAGTTATCAAATAAAAATAACAAATGATTTCGCAAATCCCACTAAATTTTGTTACTATCACTATCTTTGATAAAATTTGATTTCTTATATTGAAATATTAAGTGAAAAAAAATTTTGAAAAAGGAAGATTCAAATAAAATGAGAAAATGAGAAAAAATGAGAAAAACAAAAAAAAGATGAATGAAAAGGAAATTAATCAGTATTCACAATCAGTAATAGTAGTAATTTGTAATAATATTTTATGGTGAATTCGAAAATCAGAAATTGTTTTCTATTTATCATTTAGTAGCAAATTTATTCATACGACCAGAAATATCGCTTTGATCGGATTTTTCATTTTGCTCACAAATCATTTCGCATGGTGTTTGCATTAGAATTATTGGTTTCGCAGCTGTTTTCACCTAAAGTAATTATTTTAATCTTCCACTCATTCAGCCATTTAAGATAAGGAAAATGGGGAAAAATTCAATCATTAATTTTGAATAAAGTGGATAAGCGAAAATAAAAGAAAATGTTTATCGCTAAACTTAATGGATTAATATATTATTCAGAAATTTTTTTTCTAAAATAGAAATATTAGAAAAAAAGTCAAAACGGAATTAAGAAATAGTAAAGCTAACTGTTAAATTAATTTAAAAAATTGAATTTTACTAACAAAAATATTGAATTAATAATATTAAAATATCAAAATGGCAAAATTAAAAAATGTTATTAAAAGATGTTTTAAAAAAACTGAGTAGCGAAGAAAAAAATTTGTATATATTTTGTATATAAGAAAAATATATATATATATTCACTTGTATTCCTATCGCCAAGGGACTCCCTGGCATGTTGTCCAATTGCGACAAGCCAATGGAGCGAATTTAACCAGTAATGGTGAGGAATATATATATGCATATAAAAGATTTAAGGTTTATAAATTGGCATTGATGTTCACTAAAACAAAAATATATGTTAATAATATGATCCTATTTCTTTTAGATTAAATTTGGATTTGGGATAATGTAATGTAAATGGCTGGATAATGGGCATCGTTTGTCGGCACTCAAGGAGTCTGCAAATCAGTCCAGAGCATAGCATAGCATACAGACCTCGAATACGCTGATGATGTAGCCCTTTTTGCTGACAGCTATAATAAAATGCAAATAATTTTAAACAATATGTCAACGACTGCAGTGAGAATTGGACTCAAAATCAATGCAAATAAAAACGAAAGTATTGTCGTCTTATATACAAGATACTGATACAATACCTATCTCAATTCATTGCCGGTTGAGGAAGTCCTTGACTTTAAATGCCTTGGAGCCACTCCAATCCCAAATGGCCAGGCAAAGGATGTAACCCGGACAACAACAGCTAGAAATGTTTTTCCGGTTGATTAAATATCTATGGAACCGTCGCGAAATCACCATGAAAACGAAAATCCGAGTCCATATAGCTGCAATTCGTTCGATCCTGCTATATGGCTGCGAAATATGGCTAGAGAGAGTGGATGATATTAATAGTTATCAGTGTTTGACCACTCATGTCTAAGATATATTTTACGAATCCGTCGAGCGCACATGATTGGATTATTCTTCGTTCATCTACCACCTATATTAATAATGTGATATTAGAACATCGCCTTTGCTCGTAAAGCACGTTCTCCATCGTCCAGCACAGGAGTTAACGCTTATTTCGCTACTTATCGAACTCTTTGATAATTGGCGTCAAAAGCAAAGAGAGCCAATCAAGATGATGGAACTGACACAATCAAGAAAGATTTTGAACATATAGGCCAGCGATATATGGACTTAGATGATGGAAAACAAATGGCTTCTATTACTACTAGCGATAACGCCAGATCGAGCAGCTTACTCTTGTAGGCAGCGGAGCCACCTTAACCAGTAATGGTGGGAGTTGTTAGAAGAAGAAGCAATATAAATAAATCGAACATGGTTTTGAATTTTGAGGTTTGAAATAATAACAACGAAAATCAAATATTATAGCAAATTATTTTTTTCGAAGCTGCACGCAAGAAGTTATTGAAATTTTGGAAATCCAGCTGGATGCCTATTTAATGGCAAAATTATTATTAGAGTTTTCTCACATTTGTCAATATTTCAATTATCCTCGTTTTTTACTAAAAATTACTTTTCTGCCAAGCAAATATTGATGAAAATGCAAGCAGTCCACTTCTTTAGCGAAAAAAAAAATTTAAATTAGTTTCGAAAAATTTAAGGATTATTTAAAAATTAATGATTTAAAATGGATTAAATAATAAATTTTTCGCGGACTAAAAACTAATTTGCCCGAAAATGCAGAATTATCGTTCATTATCGTGAAAATTAGAATTTCTTTTGTTGAAAATTTTTAGTAAAAGAATAGCAAATTTCTGAAGAGAAACGAGAAATTAGTAAATTGTGGAATATGGCAAATATTACTTACCAACAAGATCCATTAATTTTATTTTGGATTAAATGATTGGTCAACTAGATTTCAAACTAAGAAGCTGGTTCATTGAAAAGGATTTAAACAAATATAAAATGCCACTAATATGCAAACGATTTCTTGCAACCTTGAATCTAATAATTTTTATAAATTCTTCTAATTTTTATACAACAAAGGACGAAAAAAGCCAAACAAAGAAATGCAAATCATATAAATGATTATTTTAAAGTCAGGGATGAAGATCTTTGACAGGAAAAAAATTTGCCATTAAAAAATCTTAGCCATGCTTGCAACTCATTTGCAGCCAAATGGTTCTTTGGCAAAAATTTTTCACCATTACCAAATTCCATTAGAGCAAATTTAATTAGAAAATGTGAATACCGCTTATCATAACAAAAAGCATAAATATTTCATAAAAATTTTAGCAAAGATATTCATCAGACTGGTATTTTCTCCTTTCTTCTAATAGCGCTCACCATTTCTGGGTTCGCTCGGCCACTTTGTTGGACTAGAAAATTTTACTATGGAGGCGCAAGGCGATAGAAGCATAAATGAGTCGAGCCAGCTTTACATACATTTTTGAAAGATGGGTTCACTCCTGCCAGGAGTAGAATCGCGCTCCAAAAGTAAGAAAGCCCATTGAGCCATTTTATCTGTTCATAGCGCGCTGATCCTTCTCATTTCATTAAAAGCAAAAAAAACCTAATTTAATTTAATTTAAGGACAAGAAAAAGTTTAAAAGGCCTGAATTTTACCTCATGAAGCGTTTCGGTTTGAGTCGATGTCATCGCTAGATTTGATTTATTTTCGGGTAAAATTAGGCCGGCACATTCATGTTGTTGAATTGCAGTTTGCTCACCAGCTGAACCAAACGCCGATGATTTCATTATTTCAACTGCAAAGTCCATTTTCCTTTAAAAATTTGTGGCAATCGAAATGCCTTCCTCGATTCCTTTTTTTCTCTATTTTTCTTGGTGAACTCAAATATATTTCACAATCCATTCCCGAAATTTTTTTATCTTTGAATTCAATGCAATTTAAAATAAGAAATAATCGTGTCATCATTCATCATTCATCTAAATGTTGCGAGAAGTTTTTATTCGAGAATGAATTAGTTAAATATTCTAAAAAGAAATGCGGAAAAAGTCCGAGCTGAAATGCTAACAATTACCACTCAGAATGGACGCAATGCAAAAAAGAACGATGTGCGGTTAGCTCGATAGGTTTCGAATTCATCGAAAGCAACAATTCAGCGCACCCTACTAAATTAACTGAATTTGAAATAAATTTTAAAAATTTTCACTAAAAACAAAGCTGATCTTATGGGAAAAATTTTTTGCATATCGAAAAATTTTAAGAACCTTTGAAAAACCGATGCGACGATGCGATGAATTGGAGTGTTGTGAGTGGTGTTCTGCCTGAAGTTCTATCCTCAGTTGACTTCTATGGCGAAGATATCATAACTTGATTATAAGCAATGCTACGAGAAGAAATATATTTTAGATATAAAGATAGATGTTTTAGGAACTTTAAATTTAAATTTTAAATTTATGCTTGTTTAACAATATTCAATTTTCAGCAAAAATTTTTTTAAAAGAATTCATTTACTTTGAAAGGTATTTTTTAAAAGTACTGAAGCGATATAAAATTATTGCTTTATAACTGTAAATTAAAATAAATATCAAAAATTAAAGTAAATGAATTCTAGCCGAAAAATTTTTGTATGGCACTTAATTTGTATACTTCAGTATATTTCATTTTGACTTATTTTAATAATTGATGATTCCATTTTAAAATAATGAATTGCTATATTGTTATTATAGACGATTAGAGATAGCATGATCGAATGTCTAGATTATCATTTCGAATATATTATGGTTGGCCTCCTCTGACCGACTTGAAATTGTCATGCTCAGTTGTGATGAGGTCTTATTTTTATTTTTACTCCTAAATGCCGAGATTCTATTAACAGGCAGTGGAGAGAGACTTATTATTAGAAATGATGAACAACTTACTTGCATAGGTCGCTTCATAAACTGATGAGTTTAATATTAATCAATGTTGCAGAAATATTTTCCTATGAAGTAGAAGCATTTTCTTGCTTGTAGAAGCACTTTCTTGCTTGATTTGTGCATTCATATTCATGATTTTAAAAATATTATATTTAATATTGTATTGTATCGCTAAATTGCATTTATTCAGGAATGAAAATTAATTCTTTTTCTTCTAGCAGTAATTCTGATGCAAAATTATTTTTTCAAGATTTTTCGAGATTTCAAGTTTCTATTCATAATTCCTTAAGTAATCTATAAAAAAGTTTATACCACAAGGCGTTCATTTTGGAAAAATTTCAAAAGTTGCCAAAAGTTCCAAAAACGCAAAAGAATTACCATAATTTTCCTTATTTCGTATTTGCTGTAAAACAATATTTCGGCAAAGACTGATGGATTCAAAGTTTCATCAAGTTTTATTAAGTTTTATCAAAAAATTTTAAGAGAAAACTCGTATTTTAAAAAATATTTTTGAAATACTAAAAGTAATTAGCGAATTAACTGTAAAGTAAATAAATTTAATTAATATAGTGATAATTAAAAATTAATATTTTTTGCACATAATTTTGATTTTTTAAATTTTTGCAGCGAATTGCACAGTATTTTCCGAATTGGAGAAAGAGATTCACCCGCATTTTTATCCTCAGGAAACTGGCATAGGTTCTATCTCGTAAGTGCGGCCAGTCAGAAGTGGTTAAATGGTGATAATTCCATCATGTCTCAAACAAATTATCTTACCAAACATTATGTCTCCAGAATAAACAAAATGTATCAGAAATTCATTCCATTTGCAAATTCTATTTTTTGGAATTCAGAATTTTTTTTGGAAAAATAGGAAAATTTTTTTTCAATATTTATAAATCTCGAATTGAAATTTTGATTATTAAATTCGACTGAGTTGTCATCAAAAAATTTCCGAAAAAAACGAGCAATTTAATTGATTATATTGAAGGAAGAAAAAATGAATGGATGATTGCTCGATCAAACCAATCATAAATCTTTTTTTGCGTTCATTGACAGAAATCATCTCAGATTATAGCTTCCAAAGATAATAAATATTTTCTTATATCGCCAATCCGCAGAGATGCACTTATAAAGCAAAAAGTAAATGTAATCAAAGCTAATTTTGGAACAATGAGGAGAATATTCGTTAAATTAAGCAGTGATTAGTGTTTACTGTTTTAGTTTCTGGTTTCGTTAACTCATTTGAAGGCCGGCATAATTCGAAACTTTCGCCAGGAACTAGCAACAGAAGTATGGATAGATTTTCAATATCGCTTGGATTTTTTAATGGCAGATTTCGAGGTTCGATACAAATCGAACCTTTGTCTGTCAACAAGATAATCTATATTATACTGTCCTTTCTACTATCTACCCTTTCCTACTATTCCTTGCTAAAAGTAAAAACTTAAGTGTGAATTTCAAAAATTGAAATGGAGTATTAATATGTTTATAAGTAAACAATATAATTTCCTCGTATGCAAGGGATTTTTTATTTCTTTCGAATATTTACGATTAGTACCTGCCATTTCTGGTTTGGCAGGTGCTCATTCCTTTGACTATTAGGAAGAATCTTCTTCAGAAAATCATACGAGAAGATTACCAACAATATTTCATTTTTAATAGCAACTTTATTCACATCGAGATAGTAGAATGAGTCAATAGGTTGTTGCTCAATTCGGAGCGTCGGAGTGCAGAGTGTTTCTACTTCCTCCAGAAGTAAAGATGTTCAAAAACCCGGATGATGCTGGCGATTCAATTGTACTTCTGTCGCCAAGGGATTTCATATTTATCTAGTCTGACAAGCCAGCATAGCGAGATTAACAAGTAATGGTGAGGGCTCTTAAAAAAAAATTCACGTGAGTAGGAAGTGAACCCATGATGACATTCAGCTTATTCGAAATAAAATATTTAGCGCCTATCACCTATCTCTATATTTCATTAAATTAATTACTTTGATTGATTACTTACTTATATCCAACTGAGAAAATTTCTTAGCTGCATTTCACGCTTTAACCCACTTTCAAAATCTTTACCAGAACGATGATAAGTGGCGATTTAATATCTAACAAAATAAAAATAAAAATTACAGACAAATAATTTCGATAAAAAAATGGTATAAATAACGCTTTAGAATTCTCAATTCCCAACTTAAATTGTTGAATTGCCAAATTTTTCAAAATAATCGATCAGTTGATTAAATTTAAAATTCATTTTTTATAAATTTTATTGTTTATTTTTTGGCGGTCTCATTGAAATTCAACAGTTTTTTGATAAAAAATTTGTAATTATTAGGCAATTTGAAATATTTCAAGCGCAGTCTGTCGACTAATTTTATTGCTGTTAATCAATCATTTAGTTTTTTTTTCCATCAGCGACGACCGAATTTCATTTTAAAGTGATTTCCAAATTTAAGGATTCTTTAGAATTTAATAATGGGTTTTTCTATCTCACCATACGAATTGGTAAAATAAATCACGCCATTCCTGCGTAACTTTTTTCTGAAAAATTCAATTATCTTCGAATACACGAAATTATTTTTTATTTTTCGATTAAATTAAAGAGAAGCAAGTAATTAGTGCTCACCATACTTATAGCTCCGTTGCCTGTGTGGTCATCATGAAGTCACTTGGCCAGTGTACAAATAGATTGTCAGCACCACTCGGAATAAAACAAGCATATTTATTTATTTTTTCTTCTTGCAACGAGATTCGTCACTTTTTCGTTTGGAAAATTGGACTACTTATTTTTAACTGCCACAAGTTAATTAAATTATCCACGATAATAGTCGAATTCATGGAGCAATTAAAGCAACTCAATTACTAATAATATTGCGGTGTATCGCTTAATTATCTCAATATGGCAGTTTCATTAATAATATTTCCAAATAGCCTCATTAAATTTGTCGTTAAATATGATTATAGTTCATTTAATTCAGCAAGTCTCTTTTTTCTCTATATTTTTGAATAGTGGAAAATTTCCATAACATAAAAATTTGAAAAATCAGATTGCTCTTGGCTTGTATAAATGTATTACTTAAATTAAACAAAGATTGAATTCATCAAATTTGGCAAAAAAAAACAAATTCACTGCATCGTTGCATCAGTAGGAATTTTTCATTTCTACTGTTATAAATATATTTTTATAAACAAAACTTTAGTGATAATTCGGATAGATTGTCTTTATTGTGCTAGAAGGAAGGAAGGAAGGATGATGACGAGTGATTAATCTATCAAAATACAATCAAGTTGAAAGTCATCGTTTATTGACGATAATATACTAAGTAAACCTGAAAGTTTCGTAGTAATATTCTAGTTATAAATAATGATTTCATAATAAATACACTTTAAAAGTGAAAATTGATTCTAAGCTTCCTTTAACAACTATAAAACAACTATGATCGAACAACTATGTTCCAATTTTTTTTAAAGAAAAAACTACAGTTGATTTATTATCAAGAAATTCGGGAGAGAATTTTTGCATTTTGCAGCTAATATATATTAGTAAATTCAACTAGTGAACCATGCCACAATAATATTAAACAAAATTCATAATACAAAATTTTTTAAACCTGCTCGCCTAATTTCAGCCTATAATTATCTTTTTTGAGCATTTACTAAAACCTTTCTTTATTTTTTTATGTATTATATACATATATATATTCTTTTAGTAGTTATATATTATTATTATATTGTTATATATTATATATTATATATATTGTTATATATTATTATGTAGTTATGTAGATACATGGTAGTTATTGTTTCTAATCTATTCAAGAACATGGCTAAGGTTTGCTTGGCTTTCTTGATTGTTGTTTCTATCACACTTATAAGTGGATTTCCTTACCTAATCTA